AAGGATAAGAACTCAAAGAAGATACGTATACAAGTAAGAAATAAATCAAAAAAAGTTTAAAAAATAAAAATAAGAAAGCAAATATATTTAATAAGAAATTGGAATGACTAATGCTAGATTAAGAAGTTAGAGATTCTTGAAACTAGATTAGAAGCAAGAAAGAAGCTGACAAGAGTGAAGAAGGCTTTATTCTTACTTCTATGTATACTATCAAACTAAAAGTTATGTAGCAACATTCTTTAGGACGTCTAACTTGTGTCCAATTTATAAGATATGTGTTTAACTTACAAAACAAGTTTCTTGTATATGTACCACATAGTTAGCTTATTCTATAAGCTAGTAATATATGCAACATATAACTAACTTATTGGCCAAGTTTCTAATCTATCAATCACCTATAGACATATATAAAAATAAAAATATATCTATAAAGCTTCTAGAAAGTTTATCTATAAGATATTATCAAATTAATTTATTTTTATATACTTCTATCTATTAATATTATCTAAATAACTATTAAAATAAATATGTCTATGACAAAAAGTCAATTGAATAATCATAGGAAAAATATTTTAAAAGAGTATCTATATTCTTTTTCTCTAAGATATCTTGATAATCTTAAAATTAGCTTAAAATGCCACTTAAAGCTTTTTTACCATTAGAAATAAGTATGGCATAAATAATACAAATTGATCCTTCTTTTACAATATGCAAAAAAACTCTTGTACATATAAATACAGATTTGGTTGTATTAGACTTATGATTTTTTATTTTATTAATAATTCTCTTAGTTACATTCTTAAAAAAATCAAGACTACAAGAAATTCAATCTATTTTTTGGTTATATTTTTTTTAGCCATGATAAACTTTAAAAAAAAATAGATTAGAGTGAAATATAATGACATTAAATATTATAAAGCTATTATGATCATTGATTGATACTTCTATAAGAAAGATTTGATGAGCAACATCTCCAAAAGACAACAAATGATTATCTATGATTTTTATATGAATTAATTTAGTTTTTTTTACTAAAAGTATGCTATGTCTTTTAACAAACTCTTCATCTAAGAAATAAATTGAGACTCATGAACCTAGCAAGGTCAAGGCTTTATGATTTTTAGATCCTAAATTAATACCTATTATAAAACAAAGAAAGGATTTTGAAGAAAAAATAAGATCTTTACTAATTGTTGTATAAGGTTCCAACCGTATAGTCTCTATTGTAGCTTGGTAGTCTTATTTTTTGACATAATGTCTTCTTTAACAACCATAATCCTCATTTTTTGGTTGTATCATTTCTTTGAAGAATATTGAGCAATATATTTAGGTTCTTTACAATATAAGAATAATCCTTCCTGACGACAAGTCTTTTTTTGCTTAATAAGAGATTTGAAATATATTGCATCAATTTGTGTATCCTTTATTTCTAAATATATGTATTGAAAAGATGGTGGTGTTTCCATTGAATTGTAATAACATTGAGGCTTACTTATGCAACTCTAAAATTAAAATTTTAAAAATGTATTGTCACACTTTACAACAAAATCAATTGCTTGATTTAATATTTGAGGATCAAGTAAGTTGAGCATTAATTTCTTTACTTCATATTGTGATCCATAAAGAAATTGACTAATAAGTGTAATATTATTTCACTTCATATCAATTACAACTTATTAAAATTATAAAGCATATAACATTATAGATCAATTTTTTTGATACAAAATATGGATCTTATTGGTTGTAACACAAATTGCATCATATTTTCCATACATGGATCAATACTTTGCTAAAAAAGCCTCCAAACTATCTTATTTTGAATCATGTCATTCAAAAAAAAAGATAAAAGCCATGGTATTACAAAACTTGAAAATAATGTTCTAAAAAACCTAACTTGTGATCTTAAAGTTGGATAGCTTTGAGATTGAAGTTCTATCACGAGTTGTATTTGATAGATGGATCTTTAAAATTTTAATTTTATACAATCAAACTTCATTGGCAAGACAATTATTAGTTTTCTAATGCTTGAATGGTGTTCTACCATAGGAGGTGTAACATGATTTGGTGTAAATATTGAAATAACTTCAATCATTTCTATATCTTCAATTATGCTTGCTATGCAATCACTCTTATATTTTTACCATTGCATTTTTCATTTCAATAAGCTCTATTATGATTATAAAATAGAAAAGAAGATATATAATATTTTTTAAGTTAAATAGAAGAAACAACTAGAGAACAAAAGAAATTTTAAGAATAATATCAATTTAAAAATAGATAATCTATAATTTCAAATATCCTTATGTCTTATCAAGAAAAAGAGATAATCCACTCTAAATCAAGAAAAAACAAGCTTTGATATTATAAGTGTATTCTTGTCAATCTATCAAGGACAAGAATTCAAAGAAGGTACATAAATAAGAGAAATAAGTATCAAAGAAACATGACAAAATATTAATAATAAGAAGAAAGTATGAATATTCAAAAACAAACTTGAATGATTATTGCCAAGGATTAAAAATCTAGAGACTCTTGAAACAAAATTAGAAGCAAGAAAGGAATTGACAAGAGTGAAGAAAGCTTCACTCTTATCTCCATATATATTATCTAAATAAGAGCTATATGACAATATTCTATATGACCTTTGAAACGTATTCAATTTGCAAGATACATGTCTTAACTTACAAAGCAAGTTTTTTATACAAGTGCCACATGATTAGCTTCTATTACAAGCTACTAATATGTTTGACACATGGCTAATTTGTTGGCCAAATATTCAACCTATCAATCATCTTTAGGCACATACAAAGATGAAATTGCATCTATATTGCTTCTAAGAAGCTTTCCTATAAGATATTATCAAATTAATCCACTTTAATTTACCTCTATCTATTCATATTATCTAGGTAACTATTGAAGTAAATATATATGTCCGTGATAAGGTATTACAAAGGATTTTTTTTTCTCCCTTCATACAATAATAAATTATTAATATTATTATTATTATTAGGCCTTGACTACCATAGATTAGCAAGGAATTTCAAAGTAAAGGAGGGGGGGAGAGAGAAGGAAGTGTGAAATAGGGCATGTCCCAAGCTGGGAACAAGATCAAGGAGAGGAGATGGAAAAAGGGAGTTTGGGATGGAGAACACGGAATAAAGAACAAAGAACATGAAAGGAGAATAGGAACATGGAATTAGAAACAAGATATAGAGATAGAGATGTACAAAATTAATCATGAGATAGCAAGGAAGGATGTGTCTTTAACAACATTGAAATGTGGCTTTATGAACTTTCTAAAACTAATATCAATTACATATAATATCAGAATAAAAAATTCAAATTCATGAATTATGTTTTCATATGTTTTAATATATATGCTTTTACTATTTATTATATATAAATATATATATATATATATATATATATTTTTTTTTTATTTTTTTTTGTTTTCTTTATCTTTGTGAGATGATTTGTTATGATGTATATTCAAAATATGTGTATGTTTGAGGAAGTAGATTTTGAGACCAAAGAAGCTTATATTAAATTAAAATGAATTTTGATATTGTTGATTCTATTACTTTACTTTAATAAAAAAAAAAAAAAAATAGTATATTTGATAAATAATTTTTACACATAGAATAATAATGATATATACATGAGTTACTAAGAGCCAAGGAGGATTTAGAGTTAGAAAAAGTGAGATGCCACAATATTTAATTCTTTTCATTGTTTAAAATTAAAAAAATCTTACCTAGTTGACCTCATGGTACAAAAAAATTAATCCAAATTTTTTTAATAGAACATTTTTTTTTTTTTCCAACATAGCATGAATAATGGTGTCTCTTAAAATCTGTGGTACATCTATATTAAAAGATGATATTTACAAAATTTAAGAACCTATATGAGATATATCCTTATAGAAACTATTTAAAATAAAGCGTCAATTTTTTTTATTTATCATAATTGTTAGAATCAAAGTATGCATTAGCATATTTGGATTTATAGTAAAAAAAATGATGTAGTCAATTTCATGACCTCTTGTCATTTGACCCAATCTCTAAAGACTAAGATTTCCAAAAGAGAGTTCTTTTGCACCAAGTAGATGACTTTTATTAAACTTGTGTACCATAGCATATCAAAACCATGCCAATTATGATTTTTTATATTTTTTCATTTATAAAACTCAATATTAAATTACCTAAATTAAATTGAGTATCAATTGAAATAGTAATAAATTGAGATTTAATTTTATCAAATTTTTTAGTGCTAAACAATAAAGAGGAATAATGATACAATGTTTGAACTTTTGAGTTAGTACACAAACACATATAATAATGTAAAAGTATTGAAAAAACTTTGAATTATGTGCATAAACATAAATATATATATATATATATAGAGAGAGAGAGAGATGAATTTGAATCAAAAAGAAGAAAAGAAAAACAACAACCAATTTTCTATATGTTAAGATGTAAAAAGTACAAAAATGAAAATCAAACGTTTTTATAAATAAATAAGCAAGTTAAATTTCAATGATGATCTATATATAATGATCATAATAGTTATTAAACTGTAAGTTTAATAAATCTTGTATATAACATTATAATAAAATTAAAATGTATTCAACATTTTCTGAAAGACAAATATTTTCTATGTTTTGTTTTTTAAAACAATTCCCCTTCCAAACAATGTTTTGGATTCAGTTTTAGTTTTAAAAACTATGAAAAACCATGCATGGACATGGAAAAATTATGATAAAAAAAAAAGGCAGTTCTTACATGTGGTAAAACAATAGTGGTAAAATTACAAACTCAACTAATTAATACATTTACAATAAAACTATTGACAAAACAACAATCACGTACTTATAAATTAAGTGAGCTTTTGGAAGGATGATCTTCATACAATACTGGGATGTACATAATCGATCAGAACGTCTGTGTTTAGCAACATTCAGCGGCGCTATCTGACTCAACTGACAGTTTCACAATAAATGAATGCTGTAAGAGTGAATTGTTTTATCAAATTTTTAGAATATTGCCAATTATGTACATTTAACTTCCTGACATGAGCTATGCCCTCAAGGTGTTTAACTTCCTTCTCCATGGAACTTCTCCTGGGTTTTGCTACTGCTCTTAGGAAAGCATTGTACCAGGAGATGACATCTGACAAGGCCCCAGCTATCCAAAACACATGAGATAAACCAAGGCCTCACCGCTAACTACATTTAAAATGTAAGTAACTAAATGAAATCACCTCCTCCACAAGTCCACTAAATCACAAACCTGGCGGTGACTGCTGAATTCACCCAGTATATCATGGGCCCAAAAACTGAATAATGAATGATGAAAATAATCATTTTATAAACTCCCGCAACCAGAGACCATCTCCCACCTAGAGCAACGGTCCTCTGCCTCTTACACGAACTCCCGCATGCTAACAATGTCGCAACTAGATCGGACCGCTCCCAACAGGAACAAAGAAGGGTATGACCTAAAGCATTAATCACCGTTCACATACGTTTTCGACAGGTAGTAATTTTTCTCACTCTCCTCCTTCTTCTTATTCCGCTTCTGAACACGCGACCACAATCACAACAAGCGCTTTCAGTAACGTGAGCTTCATTCACTCTTGTTAACCCGTCATAGTGCTCTCTCAGAAACACCAGCTGGTTCCACATCACAGAAAATAGAAATACTTCATACCTTGTATGCGTCGTGGTTGGCGAGTATGCGACTTATAATAGTAGACGTCGTTATGTCTCGAGGACTCTTAATTTCAGAAAAGATTCCCGCTGCCTTAGCAGCTGAGTACGGATCGATCTCTCCCTGTCTCCAAGGCAAAACACTCGTCAGCATTACTCATAACTCTACGTTTACACCGTTGCTTGAGGGCAAAGTTCACATCCCTCCTTACACAAGGGTCCAGAATAACTTGCAGAACCTCCATAAACAGAATTATGACGATGACACCAGAGAGATAGTTCACAACAGCTGTAGATTCTGTTTCGTAGCACATCTGTTGAGGAAAATGTCATAAAAATCTTAAAATTTCATACTAAGTTCCAACGTCGTCACACTTACATTCTTTAACAAGTTCTCCTCCGCACAAGTTCCATGAACCACCAACGAAATATTAAAGGTAGTTATCTGCATTCGCAAGCCAACAACCAGCGCAAAAACCAGTGGATTCATCAGGGTAAAGTTGTACTACTTCTAAGATCGTCGTTACCAAAATGAATCATCCATCTGACCCACCACTGAACTTCAGAACTACAGCATGATAAGGACAAAGTGAGAGTGACATAATACGAAGAAGAATATACCATGTCCTTGGTCACTTCCCATGGGGCCCCAATAATGACTTCATCAACGTAGCGGCACGCCAACACACTCAGACTGCGCTCATGCACGTGCATGATCGGATGATTTGGTCCACGATGCGCACTGTTTTCAAAAAATCACAACCATCACAATAAGTTCGCTGCCATCCAAACAAAAACTTGCTCTGCCTTCAATAAAACCTCTTACCACATTCGAAGGAACTCATTACGTTGTGCAAGCCCAGACACAAATCACAGGTCCAATAAACAAACAAATAATTAAATTGTAAAGAAACAAGATTTCATATATACAGAGTTATACACGAAAAAAGTGAAATGAAAATCTAATAGAAGGTTTCATTATGAACAAGCACCTGACTATCTGATCACTGTGAATGCCAACCAGCAAAAAGTCGCCCATCGCCCTTGCAGCCTTCAGAGTCTGCGCCAAACACCCAAATCCGCAAAATTCAGTCCACTTTCAGATTGAGTTAAAGGTAAATTGAGATTTTATTCGCAGGGTTCCAAACCACAAAACGTAAATTAGATCCTAGATCTGCTAAAACCCGAAAATTCCCGAGGCAGAACTATGAAGAAGAAACATGAACTGTGGCTCAGGAAAAGCAAAAACTATCTCCTCGTCTATCAATCTACCTGATAAGTATGGTATCCACCTAAAGGAAATCACCACTAATCGAAGTGGTGCACAAGGCTTTTGGCTGATTAATAATACCTCAACGTGACCAACATGGAACAGATCAAAGGCACCATCCATGTAAACAATTCGTGCGTCTGGTCGAGGTCCTTTCCCATTCGAAAACTGTACGATTCGGCGAGAAGTCGGCAAGAAATGAGACACGCGAGTACCACCACCAACACTAGTGCCTTCATTGCCACTATGTCCATGACTGAATTGCCTCTGTAACGAAGCGTGCACGGGTGTTTCCCCAGTGATTCTATCCCGAACACACAACAACATCCTCCCTGTAGCCAAGGTGATGCAGAATATCAGCACTATGTCACTTCTGAAGTCCTCTACAAGATTAAAAAGGATTCTGAAGTTCGCATCAGCCTGCTCGCAATCCCTCAACAATTCTCAGCTGGCCATTCTTAATCGGTTGATTAATCTTGACCAACTTCTGCTCAATTATACACGATGTACTTAACCTTCTACACCACTGTCAAACTTCAAAACAAGATCGTGATACAAGCAACATCGTAAAACACACTATAACACATGAAGTAAAGTACCAACGATGTCCGTGCTCGACACTCCTTCTGTGCGCTTTATCTGTTTGTAACGACCTGCTTTCTTCGCGTGCGCATACGCATCTGACCCGTCGGGAAGGAGACACGGATCGTCGCCATGAATAATGTAATCGATTCTGTATTCGGTGAATAACTTGTTCATAAACTCCACATTGATCTCATAAGGGGCATCCTGAATTACTTCGTCCACCCACTTCACTGAGCTCACCATCACCACCCTACAACCCACCTGCTTCCAATCAGTTTAAGTTCCTGCTAGAGTTATTAATCACCCATGTTATCTCCAAGCAATGTCTTACACAAGACTGCTCGTTAGATTCTCCCAACTAGACACCTGTCCAGTTCAAGTCGTCCAGATCTGAAGCAAGATGGACGATGATTTTTACGAAGAACTGTAGGCAATTTACTTATTCCATAAGATGGGGACGGGACTCTGTCCCTGCTTCTGGTCTTAAGGCGCGCCGCCTCCCAGGGCACACCGATCCAGGTGGAAATCAGACCTCCAAAACGGAGCACACCTGACACTCTGAGCACTCAAGGGTTGGGTATCATAATGCAGTTGCGACCAGTGTATGTTCTCTAATCACACGTATGGGTGCCTTGAAATGCAAAAAAAATAATGATCCTTCTACCATGAAGTCACCTTCTCCTCCTCATTAGGATTCAGCCTATGTCATTCTAAGCCACTAAGAGCCAGTAACGCAGCGCGCGTCCGCTGGTCGCAATTCTTCTTCAATAATTTCAGCATGCTTCGCAAAACATAAACCAAGAGCCTAATTCCCGTGTATTGACAAGATAAAAATACAAAATACAAAAAACGCCCCCATCTGTGGTACACGCAAAAGAAAAAAATCCTGCAGAATATAATTGCGCCAACTGCCCAAACACTCGAAAAGTTCTTTCAGGCTCACCTTTCGTCCATCGACATCACTGGAGGCCCCTTGTTGGCTTTAATCTCCTCGTCGCTCATCACCCCCACAACAAGCTCGTCGCCAAGAGCCCTAGCCTGCCTCAGCGCATTAGCGTGCCCATAGTGCATCATGTCGAAGCACCCATCCATGTACACTCTCACCTTTTTCTTCTTCTTGGTATTGTTCTTCGGAAACAGCCCACCTGCAAGATCAGGCAGGGGGGCTATCCCCAGGACTCGACCGGCCATCCCAACCACGGCCGAGGCCATGGCCATCGCCCCCAACACTTTCACCACCGCGAGCCCCTCTGCAGCTTGCCAGTCTCCCTGCGCCATCTACACAATCGCGCTCGCAATTATCAATCAAGACCAGCACAACCCGAACTCGTCTACCAGTAAAACGCCTGAAACGAAACCCGAATTTCCACGCTACTGCCCACTCCGGGACATCGTGATGGCCTGCGCAACACCTCCCTTATTTCACGTCGCCACCATCTCCTCCTCTCCCTCCGCAGGGAGCGGCACTCTCGTGCTCCTACACCACTAACTTCCCCTTGCTCTCTGCCGCAAACTCCCTGCGAAAACGCCCCAAACAGTCGGGCGGACAGATTACTAAATCAGCAATAAAAACGAATCGCGATTCCTCCGCTCCCGAGTCACATCCAATAGTATGCAGTTATTGCCTAGGGCATGTCAAAGGAATATCAGGAGCACGCAATGGCCAGGACAATGGTGATCACGCCCGCAAGAAACAAAACACAACTGGATCGCGGCCTCGCAGCACACAAAACTCGCGAGTCGCGACAGCATGCCTTCCCTTTGAACTCACAGGATCCTTTACTTCAACCGCAACTTACCTTTCGGGTTGCCCTTCCATCTACTCGTCTACATACCTTCCAAGACGCTGGCTCCCTAACTAACCGACTACCCTCTTGGTCCACTCGAGAAATTGGTGGCGCTTCTGCAGTGGCCAGGTGCCTGGTTTTCCGATCCGTGAGTAAAGCTGTTGCTCTTCGTGTGTGCGACCGACGGGCTTGAGCGTTTGCCTTGGGCTAGTAGCAGCCGCTCGACCCCCTTTCTTCTTTTTTTTAAATTTAGGGCGATGTACCCAGCCACGTGAAACCCTATACTTGCCAAGAACTTGGGGCTCGCGTAGAATTCCTCGACAGCCTTCAACTCTACCAAAATTGCAATAAATTTCCAACTTCCCTAGAATTTGCGATGTTGGGTTTGATTGGTCTGAGGTTTTACGATACTCCTACGTATGCCCTGGCCATTGAACATCAATTCCAATAATATCCCTCGGAGCTCGTGCCAGGTAGCTCACGATTGGATCACACCCTTTTCTTTTTTATGCCAATTTTGTTCGGTGCGTAAAATTTCGTAACAGGTTTCGCCGGGTGGTGAAGTTGGTGGGCGACGGGGAGGTCGCGCCTGTCGGAATTCTACTTCGTCTTCACTGTAATTCCATGTTGGGTGTTGAGATTTATGGGCCATTTTCCCTCTGTTGCACATGTGGAGTAGCAACCCACGGGTGGAAAACCGCGCAGCACCTGGCACGCGTTTTCGGTGGCAATTCCCACGGCAAATGTCAGGATTTTTCGAGGGGAAGATGCTTCTCGGTAGGTCACGGGTGCGTGATTCATAGAGCATGTTCTGAGTTTGGGCTAATCCGGTGTGGCTTCTGGGCTGTAGACTTTCCTTTTTCGTTGATTATTTGATTATGGGAAAAGAGCGAACATTGCTTTTCGGGTGGGTTGGACCACATGAGTAGGAACATCCCTTTCACATGAAAACTTGAGGAAGCCTCGATAAGGAAAGTGGTCCACAGTAGGTGTTCTATAGTTCACACGCAGTTTCTCAAGTGGTGTTGCTGAAGGCATACTACTGACCGATTGGGTCGCGTGGAGCGCCACAACTGCTGTGCCCGAGAAAGCTTCAAGCCATGCTTCACAGCCACTCTCGATTACGGTATTTCTATCCATGCAATAACCGCGAAGAAGATTGGAGCGCACCTGGAATATTCTTCTCTAAAAAGTGGAGGCTAAGAAAATTCTTGACAGCCATTCTTAAAATTCAAAGATTTCAATTCTGACATAATCGCTATGCAATTAGCGCATCTGTCCCTCGGCACATTCTGTTCGTGATTCTACTACACTGCAAGCTCAAGAACATAATCTAGCAGATTTCAAAGGGGCCCAAATCATCGATCACGACGGTCACAAATATCAGCACATGCACTTCAGATCACAGGATGAAGCTGTGACAATGTATGATGCTTTCTGAGAATATCCTCTACGCTTGGCGGTCACTTGAGCTCCTAGAACTGAGAGTCGAAGTTCAGTTGATTGCTTCCGTTGGAACTAGTAAATTCACTGACTAGTTTAACAGGTGCTTGCAGATAGAACCAACCAGCTCTTAAATAACACTGCATCTCGCCGTTGCTTGTTAGAATATTAGAATCAAGTTTTCCTGCTTGCAGTAAAATTAAATAAACAATGTCGGAATCAACAGCATTGTTAGGTACAAATTTGTAAGCGAGGATGTTTTAACTGTTGATGGAGCAGTTTGTGAGATTTGGGTTACACCTCTCGAGTACATAAACCAACTCTAAACAAGGAAATGCTACACATGCATCAATCGATCCAACTCATAAAATTGTGCATGATATTCGACGTCTTCAAGTAACTGACAGACCGAGTTGACTTCCGGCAGCTGTGGATTTACAACTTGTAAACGGTTCAAGGCAACTTCCAGGCCCATCCCCTGATATAATTGTCCCGTGACGATCCTCGTCGTGACTGAACTTGTGCGTTCAGGACATATTACTTCGATGTTCTGCTCGATTGATACAGGCAAACGATAACAAAAATAGATCAAATCCCTTTCATCTCACCGTTCTCGATGCTCGTTGTAGAGAAAAAAGGAGGGATGATGGTTACGTTCTCAAACACTTGCAACATCAACTGGTGAGAGGCTTCTCAAGTTAAACCCCACTGATTGCAGCATGATCCAATGAGGCGGAAATGACAAACCACTGAGAATTTCACACACCACGTTGGAATTTGCGAGCAAACCTGGCAGAGGTAAAGACCAAAGCGCGGCATCCCTCAAATCCCCCGCTCCATTGCTATCCAAACAAACCCTGCACACTAACAACCCCACCACGCAAGGCGAAAAACGATACACCAACGAGATAATCGAAAGACACCACAACTGTGCTTGGCAACACCGTCAAAGTCGAATCATTCCACAGAATGAATCGAAGAGCAGGAAAGTCGATACCAAACCGGTGATACACCTGAATGCGAGCAATCTGACATAGTTCCAGTCTGATACGTATTTCAAATGGTCCGGATCCAAATCGTGCTATGGAATCGAACCATTTGGGATAAGAAAAAAAAAAAAAAAAAAAGAAAAAAAAACAGATTTCACGATGGTTTAGGGTTTAGGATTCTTTGAAGGAAGGGGGACGGTTCCACCTGGAATCGTGCTCCACCACGATTTGACCGTTCCTTCACCAGACACGACACTTCTGGACCATGAACTTGGTTTAGGGCATGGAATTCACGGATGGGATGTGAGAAAGTGGGCGATGGCCCCGAGGCATAAATAAAGAATAAGTTGAGGATGCCCCACATGGGAGACATCCTTGGAGCTGTTTAAATGCTTTCTCTCTCCGACTAGTTTGGAGTTGGTCCCTTTGTCATGAGAATCTTTGTAGAATATGTAACATATGTGTGTGTGTTACATATTCTACAAATGTAACATATACACACATACATACACACACACACACACACACACATATATATATATATATACATACTTGTATTTGTATTTTGATGCTTGCATTTGTTCTTGGAAATTGTAAAACATCATGTGCCCAAGCATGAGAATTACTAAAGGATGTGTATATATATATATATATATATATATGTATTTAGATAATATAAGAAATGGGGTGACATAGATTGATTTTTTCTTTGCTATAATTATAATTATTTTAAGAAGGGCTATAATATAGACAAAAAAATCATGTAGTTACTATAAGTATTAAGTAATTAAATGATGAATTGGATAAGAATAATTAGATTGTGAATTAGAATAATGATATTTTAATATTTTACATATTAATAAATCATGATATTTAATCGAAAATAAAGTAGTCAATATTTTAATAAATTATATATAATATTTTATTTATATATTTAATTTACCTAATATTGGTATTAAAAATAAAATTTGAATATTTTTTTAAAAAGATAATTAGTATAATATTATTATTATTAAATCTAAAGATTTCAAAAGCATATGATTATAATATAAAAAATTTATAAGATTAAAGGTGGACTTAACTTTGAATATAAGAGAAATAACAATGAATTTAGTATATTTATATTTATAATATTGGTTGATATATTTAACAATAAATTTTTATTTGATCTTTATAAATAAAATAAAATAAGAAATAATCTAAAATTAATATATTATAATTTCTAAAATAAATAAATATAATACAATATAATAGAATAATAATAATAGATATTTATATTATATAAATAGATATTAATAGAATTAAGTAAAAATTACTAAAATTATAAATTACAATAAAATACTAAATTATATTATATCATCATAAGATCAATAATAAGAAAGATGACCTAAAGCTCTAAGAAATGTACTATTGAAACTAAAGATCTCCTCAGCTTTAATTCCAATATATATTAAGTATTAGGAAGCTTTTTCAAGAAGTTTTCATATTCCTTGTAAACAAAGAAATCCAAAGAAGCTTCAATGATAACTTTCCTAATTTTTTTAGAACTTTTTAGAATGTACTAAAATATTCTAAGAATCTTATAAAACCTTTTAGAATATTATAAAAATATTTTAAAACCTCCTATTGAAATATTTTAAAAGTATTTTAGAACTTTTTGGAATTTTCTAAAAATATTTCCAAAATCTTCTTGTTGGATGTCTATAACATCACCTCTCCTTCTAACACTAAGTTCTATGAAGAGCATTGGTTTCATATCTACAATAGAATGAGTAAAGCTTGAGAATCATCTTCAAGGTTTTCTTGTTTAAGTTCATTATAGTGTGGATGTTTTTTTCCTCAAGAAAGTCCAACTTCATCTTAAGGATGATTTTGTGAAGGTTGCAAGAGCTGGAACAATTGATCTGATAGAAGTGATAAAAAAGCTCAAATTTTAGTTCTATTTTTAGATTCATGATCTAAAAATTATATACTCTCCAAGTTGACATATTAGATCATGAATTGGATATACTCAATTCTAAGGTTGCTATAAGAAATATCAGCTTTCTTTGTTATGTAAACATCTTAGCAATAGCTTTATAGATAAGTCATCTTAAAACAGGTTTAGATTTTTGAGGATAGCATCAATGAAATTCTTGTATCTTTTGTAGCACATTAATTAGATTTTTAGCTGATTCCTACATATGTTCATTGATATCATAATTATGCCAATTTATAAAATATTCTAACTTTCTTCTTCTTTACTAAGAATCAAGGATCTTTTTCCCTTCATATTCCATATGATTATCTATTTCAATATAATGTAGTGATAGTTGTATTTTTCCTAAAATAGTTATTTCTAAATAAGCTTCTTCGAGAAAAACATGAAAGAGTGGATATATCTTCATGAATATGGACAGTTCCAACTAATAAGTAATTAGATTTATTTACTTTTGAATACAAAATGGCCGTAGTCTTTGATAGTCCAACTTATTGTAAAGCCAATTGATTTTGATATTTCATTGAAGAAGCCATACTTTATCTTCAACTTAAAAAAAGAAGGGATTCTTTTCTAAATTCGTTTGAAGATGCTTTATAAGAATCTTGAGCTACTTGTAAATAGAGCTTTAAAGTTGTTTAGAGCCATGACAATTGTTTTGAAAGATCTTCAGCTGCTAGATTTTCATCCTTTGATGTACCTAATAAATTAGCTTCACATAGTAACCATAATTGGTGCAAAATGATGTTTGCTAAGTATCTATCTTCAATATCTCAAAAAAAGATTTCTAAAACTTTGCTATAAATTGAGGTTCTCAATTAGAAATGATGTCATTAAGTAGGCCAGGATATTGATATATATTATTAAAA